ATAGGGTATTATGAGAGATAACAATGGAGGAGCTAATTTACATGAAGGATCAAGAGATGAGTTGTTTTTTAATGACACTGAAACGGATACTTGAGGGATGTGGAGTCAACTAGGCTGAGTAAACATATTTGACTACATCATAGAAACACCATATATCAAATTGTCTACTTTCTGGAATAAAAGAGTATAGTAAACTCATTCTTCCACATGAAAGTTTCAACTTATTGACAGAAATTAATATATTCTAACTTTCAATCTACTTTTTAAAATATGTTTTTATTAATTTTTAGAGAGAGAGGAAGGGAGAGGGATTGAGAGATAGAAACATCAATGAGAGAGAATCATCACTGATGGGCTGCCTCTTGCATGCCCCCGACTGGGGATTGAGCCCACAACCTGGCACATGGCCTGACCAGGAATCCGCCCCCTACTGGGGATCGAGCCCACAACCTGGCACATGCCCTGACCAGGAATCCTGACCTCTTGGTTCATGGGTCAACACTCAACCACTGAGCCACACTGGCTGGGCTCAATTTATTTTTATCTAAATAGTCATACGCTGGCCCACCTCCCTCTCCAACATGATGTCTTAGTCATGTTTTCAAGAATTTTTAACTGGAGTTCTTTCTCTGAAATCTCTCTTTACTTACCAAAAGTATTCTAAATTTGATTGCTTTCCCAGAACCCCTACATAATAGCCTTTATGTCTTTAAAAAAAGTATAGAAGACAGTGAAACTACTATCTCTGTATTTTGGGACACAATTCTACAATTATATTTACTGCATTCTTACATAATCTACAGCATGGTGATCAGATTACCAATATTGTTCCCAAAGTCTACAAGAACCTAGAGTGCCATTCCAATAACAGAAATAAGATATAATTATACCCCTGTTGGTTTTAATATTAAGCTAGAATTTTTTGTGCTTTCATTCTTAAATTGCTAACATACTTCAGACTGTAGTTATTTTCTGCAAACATGAACAGGTAATTAATTATTACACCCCATTCACAATTCCTCTTCTCTTTTATGCTTGCTATAGTAGCATGTGAATACTAATTCAGGACTAGCCCATGGAAAGACAACAGTGCAGGGAAGGTCTGGGGAGGGGACAAAAGCAGGGTGGAGGGATTCAGGGGTGGGGGGGGGAAGAGGGGTCATCTGTAATACTTTCAACAATAAAGATAAATTTAAAATATTTTAAAAATAACTCAATTGTTTTCACCCAAGAGTAGTGTTTCCCCTCCAGAGAATATTTAGCAATATTTGGGGATAGTTTTAGTTGTTACCCCTGGAACAGTTTTATTGGCACCTAGTGGGTGGAGGCCAGTGATGCTGCTGAACATCCTACAATGCACAGGACAGCCTCTCACCATAAAGTATTATATGGCCCAAATGTTAAAAGCCTTAAGAAACCCTGGGTTAACTAGATTGATTTATGGGCCAATATTTATAACCAGTTTATTTAACTACTGTATCTACTTAAATTTTAAGTAGTAAACTATAGCTAAATATTACATTTTGATTAATAGAAATTTACATATTTTCATATGCTACCATATGAGTCCAGAAAAACTTTCATTTATTATTCACAACATAAGCCATATAAAGGCTTATTCACATAAATAGAAATCCCTCATAAATATTCTTGAGGTTTTAAAAGTAAATCATGACAATGCAAAGTTATATACCTTTTTATAATTGTTCATTTAATTATTTGCATTCAATATATCCCTTGGGTTGTTTTTCTTTTTTTCCTTTCCTTTTTATTACAGAGATTGTATAGCTCCTGGGAAGAAATTTGATAATATATCCAAGTGGACTCCTACCACACTAAAAGTTTCATTACAACCTTTATTTTAAACCTGTACTATTTCCTTGTTGCAAGAATAGGTTTTTAAGACAAAATGCTGCACCTGTGAAGATTCTAGGCAACATGTACATCCAACCAAATGGCACTATAGGAAGTGGAAACAGGCAAGACACAAAGGACACTGAAGAGGATGACCTCATGCTGACCCTAGGCACCACAAAGGATCTTGTTGGTTGACTCTAATGAAAATTGGAATTGCCTAAAATTTCCCAGCAAGTTTAACAACATTCAACTATTCTGCCTCCTATACTTTCAAGCATTTTTGCTTAGCTGACAGAAATATGTCTGAGATTTTCAGTTCATGACCTCGATCTTTAGAGAGAACAGTAAATTGACACTCAGTCTTTCCCCTAGGCCAGTGTTGGTGACCCTGGAAGGTGTGCAGCGCTGTGCTATAATGACTGCTTTCACTTACTCCAACTGCATCATATATTAACTTAGCTTTGCAATGGTTGTCTGCCAACTGCACACCTGATCTGCAAAATAATAGCACTGGGAGATCAGTTGAATGAATGATGAAGCACTGACCTACTGTTATGTTCAAAGATTCTGGCACGAAATTTATTCATGAAGTACTAATGCATTTAAGGCTCCAGATCAGTTTTCTAGATCCTTATGTTAGGATGACCTAGCAGCAGTGAAATTATTAAACTATAGTCTTTAATTCAACTTTGTTCCTCATCACTTTTTTCCTCCAGATAATAGAATAACTTTTTTTTTTTTCAGAGAGAGAGAGACAGAGAGAGAGAGACATTGTCAACTTTGTTCCTCATCACTTTTTTCCTCCAGATAATGGAATAACTTTTTTTTTCAGAGAGAGAGAGACAGAGAGAGAGAGACATTGAGGAGAGAAACATCATTGGTCGGCTGCCTTCTGCATGCACCCTACTGGGGATCAAGCCCGCAAATCGGGCATGTGCCCTGACCGGGACTTCTTGGTTCCTGGGTCGAACTGGTGACCTCTAGGTTCCTGGGTTGACACTCAACTGTTGAGCCACATCATCCAGGCTGAAATAACATTTAATAAAAACAAAAAGGCATATTTTTGCCAACTTACAAAGAATTTTTTGATGTTTGAAAATATTACTTAATTTATTGGCTAGATTCTCAAGTGACAAATGGAAGACCTCTGGGAAAAGTTAAATGTTAGTTCCATAACAGCAAGAACATTGCTCTGCACAGCTGCACCTCTGGGTCCATCAGGGTCCAATATATAGCAGGTGCTCAGTAACTGCTGAAGGACTTCATGAATATAGTCATTTCAATGGACATGGCAGTATTTTTTATTTAACACTTACTCTTCCTTATTCTAGCTCCCATAAGAATATTGTTTGTTGGTTTCTTTTCCACTGTCACTTCTTCCAATATCTAGAACTATTCACACATTCAATTGATAGCAAATAAATGTCAGATGCCATGTGATGACAGGCTGTCCACTTAAAACAAATGTTATCAGCCTGAATTTTTCTCTGTTAAAAACAAATATGATTTTATCTATGCCTGTTATCTACTTTAAGTCTAAGCACAGTGGAAAAAAGTTCATCTCTGAACCGTTTTCCATTGTCACAATACCTTTTATGACTGAAGACATATTTTTATTCATCAAACCGATGAGCTGAATTTTATTAAGAAAGATCTGTGGTAAGACTCAAGAAGATGTGTGTAATATTCTCTCCCATACTAGGAAAAGAACTTCTCATTCATCATCAACAGTTGATAAGAAGTGCTGTTTTTAACAACATTTCTGATGATGAATGAGCATACCCTTCTTTCATATTAAAGTAAATATTAGAAAAACAATCTTCTCAAATCATGGAAGAAATCTTTCAATTCAGTTTAATCATAAAGGGTGGAAGTGAGATTAAGCAGAGGAAGGCCATGCATGGAGGGAGGTGGCCCAACGTGCTATCTATACTCTACCCTTCTACAATCACAGGAGAGAAAAGGATAAGTCCCCATTCTGCAGTATGACTATCACATTAATATCGTTCATCTTAAATGTATATTTCTGTGTCATATGCATTAGGAAACAAGAGAGAGACATTAAGCCCTAATTATTTTTGTATGGAATAATCCCCCCAGGAAATATCACAGGCTCATTCCACTACACAACTCTTTAGTTCCTAGGTATAGCATTTGGTGAAGTCCTTTTCAGAGTATGCAGCGATCTGACTTACTTAAGCTCCAGGGCAGTCTGCTAAAAAGGCAATCTTTTTTGAAACTGGGACTTTGTCATGATTAGTTCTTTGGTTACATGATTAAGGAAGGATAAATGGGTGGCCATGGGATGCTATTTAGTGTCTCTGAATGTTTTACATAGTCTGCATAAATGTCACTTTGAAATAGCTGTAACAATAGTGCTTCACTCAATAGCTCGGGCCCTTAAACCATTGCCATTAAACATTACATTTGGGGGGAAAAACGTCAAGTTGTTTTAAATCCTACTAGGCTAAATTAAGATGATGATCTCATTTCAGTGCAAAATATTGGCTGGAGTTTTGTAGATGAATTAAAACATAGATGTAAGCTCCTAAATACTTGATATGTGTGTATATATATATATACTAAATGTGCTTTTCATTTAGAAAAGAATTTATCAAGGTGTAACAGGTATATAAGGTATAAAATGTGGTTGTTAGTTCAATAAATGTAAATGTTCATAGTTAGGTTTTATCACTTCAGATTCATTGAAGTGACAATGATAGAAAATTCTAGTAATACTGACTCAATATAGGAGTTTGTCTAGTTTTATGTAAAGAGGCAGATGCTAAATACTTCAAGCTTTGCAGCCTCTGCCACAAGTACTTAACTCTGCTATTGTAGTGAAAGTAGCGATAGACAATACATAAATGAATGCAGTAACTTTGTTCCAATAAAACTTTATTTACAAATGCAGGTAGTGGACTGGATTTGGCCTTCAGGTTGACCTGTTTATTTAAAATGAAATTTGGAGAAATCTTTCAGCAGCTGGGTCTAATTGGCACTCTAGACCTATATCATGTAACCCTAATTGGCTGCTATAGTTCCAAATACTTGATCATGACATGTCCACTTCTAAATACAGAAAGCATGAATGCTCTCAGGGCACTAAGGATGAGCCTTAGTCATATGCAACTCATCTTTAATAAGGAAGAAAAAAAATTCCCAGATGACTTCTGAGTTTTCCTTTTATTTCCTTAGATTGAATTATATGCCTATCCTTAGCCAATCATTGCCAAAGGGAATGGAGTAGGCATGATTAACCGAGAGCAATTTTTTCCTTGGGTCTGGTCCTATTACCACTGAAAAAGATGGAGATTTAATACATGGATAAAGATTGAATGCCCGTTAGGTAGGCAATCAATATCTATCACAAAACAGTACAGAGGTTTGTTCTGTTTTGTTTTGTTTCACCAATTAGAACATAAGGTCTTAGATGGCTTTCAGATTCTATTTTGATTCACACTTGAAACATATTAAAATGACTCCTTTGGGTCTTTTATCTTCTCCATGAAAGTTCTATGCCTGCTCTTGGACTTCATACATTTTAGGAACATAATTTCATTTTGCTGTTCATTGTCTATTTGAACATTTGCAGCAAAGTGTAGGAAATAATTCTATATAGATATTGTTAAATGGAGGAAAAAATTCTGGTTTTCTAGAGCCACACTACCCCAAGTTCTCTCTGGTTAAACAATTACAAATTAGAAAATCTAAGTCCAGAGACCAATTCTGGTCCTCAGAAAAATCACAATTGAAGATGTGCATCAGCCCGGTTGACCTGCAAACTGTCTGTGCCAGGGTGTGGTTGTGTCTTCCAGTCAGCAGTGCAGCTGCCCGGGTGCTGTATGACAGGTAGCTTTTAGAGAGAAAACATTTCCTAAAGAAAGAAAAGTCAGGTGCACAGAGGTGCTCGAAACAAACCCTTTGTTGTTAAAAAAAAATTATCTATTCTAAATAAGACATGATTCCTCACTTGAGTGCATTCCTCAATTTATGCTTATGTGGACTCGAGGAGAAGCGGGCCTTAATGAAAATGGAGGGAATTATTTTATCTAAAACTCTTTGTCCTTTGGAGCACAAAGTAGAACAGCAAAGAGAGAAGTGATCTACCTGTTGTCTGTCTCTCCTGAGAAGGTAACCCCACATCACAGGTCCAACGACTCCAAAGAGAACTGTAACACTGAGCCTCAACTCAGGAGCAGTGATGTGAGCAATGCCTGTCCAAGATACTGTGCCCACAGGAGATGCAGATGGGGCACAGAGGTGACTGCAGTACCCAATTAAGCTACTTGGTGCACAATAAAAGTAATGCTTCCCAGTGGGATGTAGGCTGCTAGAAGACATAGTGAGACACCGCTTCACCGCTAGCTGGGCCTTAGCAGCAGGGAAAAAGCTAGAGCAGAAGAGAAGATTAATGTCTAAGGCTCAGAGGATGAATTTGGGAGCTCCTGTGTGGCATCCCCTAAGAACTCCAAAACATCTTGGGGTTCTTGTGGAAGAGAGAGGTCCTACAATTGAGAACGATGCTTGTTAAAGCTAATGAGATCTTCATTCTAAGATTATGCTGAAGGGGTTAGAAAAAGCACAAAATATCACCATAAAGTGGAGCTTAACAAAGAGATTGTCTCATTAATCCCTTTTTTCCGCTTCTAATAATCTGCCTGTGTAATTCCAACACTGCTGATGAGAAACATTTCAAAAACATCAAATTATTAATTATTTTGGATATAATATATTCAACTTAGTATAGTGTTCTAACTAGTACGTACCCACACATAGATTTGAAGGGGGTTAAAATGTCTTCCTTCTCAAAAGTGTTTTGTCCCAGGCTTTACTAGTACCTGAAATGTTCACATTTATCCACAGACATTGACTGCTGCATTCTTTCAGTGCAAGGCCCTGTGTCTGGTCATCCTAATCTTATTACACACTCCACTGGGTTAAGGCATTAAAGGCCTGGGTTAAAATGCAAAAGCTACCTAGAAGAGATAAAACATTAAGCAATTTCATGCCATTAGAACCTCAACTCATCAGATTAGTCTCAGTCACTCAGAAAGACCCTTGAGGGAGCCAATCATGGGCAAATAACAAATGTATTTCAATGGAATAGTATGATCTAAGCACCTTATTTCTGAGGTAGAAGTTTACAGAATTCGCAAAAAATATGCTTCATTGTCATTACTCTTTCTGTTTTTTGTTGGTTTTTTTTGTTGTTGTTTTTTTTGTCTAGTTTTGATCTATATTTCTCTAGAAATTCTGGTAACACTTTTTTTATATAATATGTATGTGAGCATACGTAGTGCCCACACTAGGTCAGGGTATATAGTTAGACATTTTGTTTTAAGAAATCTTGAGCAATTCAGAAGCTGGAGCTCAATCCAACTTAGTTTTTCTAGTTTTACCATTAATAGCTATTGTGCTAGTCTTACTATTCACAACCACTATTTATTGAATATTTAGAATTTGATGGTCTTTAAGATAAATGCTTTAACTGGCTAAGATTTGGAAACAGCCCAAGTGCCCATTAGTAGATGAGTGGGTAAAAAAGCTGTGGTACATTTTCACAATGGGATACTATGTGTCTGTAAAAAATAAGTGTCTATTACCCTTTGAGACAGCATGGAGGGACCTGAAGAGTATTATACAAAGCGAAATAAGCCAGTCAGAGAAAGACAAGTATCGCATGATCTCACTTGTATGTGGAATCTAATGAATAAAATAAAGTGGAAAAAAATAGGTCCAGAGACATGGACGCATAGAACAGACTGAGGAATCTCAGAGGGAAGGGTGGTGGGGAAGAGGGATAGGGGGAAAGATTAACCAAAGAACTTATATGAATATATGCATAGCCCATGAACATAGACAATAGTGTGGTGAAGGCCTGGGAGAGGGGCGGGTGTTGGGTAGAGGGGATCAATAGGGAGGAAAAGGGATATCTGTAATACTTTTAATAATAAAGATACATTTCTTTAAAAAAATAAAATAAAAAGGCAAGTGCTCTGTTTCCTGGCTGCCTTCATTTATATTACCTGCCTGAACTGTACCTATAAACCTGGCAATCTGCAGAATTGTCAGCCCCTGCTATACGACCTCATACTCATTTACGATAAGAGGAAAATAGAACCCCATGCTGTTTTAAAACACCACAAGCTTATAAATCAATAGCGCTAAAATCATCACCAGAGGATGAATAAATGACCTTAGTATATTTTTGTTATAACTTTAGGTGAAGTAAGACCTATATTATGTTAGTGAAATTATTCTTAAATATCAGATCTAACAAAAAAGAAGTATAAAAATAATATGAAAACATGGAGGAAAATAATTTTTATCACAAAATATGATTTCATAGACAAGCACAGCTTAATGCATCAAGTTTTATAAGGCCATCAGAAATTAAGAGAATTCTTCACAACTCATTGCTGTCTACTTATAAATTCTTGCAATATCCAGAGTTGCAGAAGTTAATTGTAAAACATACATACGTGTTAAAATTTAAAAACAAGATATTCTAGGTTCAATGTGTACACATTTAAATTGATAAATTTTAGGGTACCAAGAATAAAATCACTAAGTCATGTGATATTTTAAAAAACAGACATTCTAATCAGAGGTACATGGAATAGTAGGACAGTCAAACTCTATTTCTCTGGGGAGACTATTTGCTTACTGTAATATAATCCTGTGTTTCAATAGACATAGAGACAGCTACCCAGTATGAAAACGAGCTGTTAATTAAGTCAATTCAGTGAGGGGTAAAAATCAAACCAACTGGCTGTCTGGCATCACTCATTCAAATTAATCTGTTGATTGAATTTCCTCACTGTTTCTACCAGTTATTTTGTAATTGTATATTATAGTGACACTATTTCTTCAGTGCAAATTACCTCTTTCCACCATGAGTATAGGTCCAAAAACTAACATAAAATCTATGAGAGGAGAAGTACCTAGAGAAATTTCTAACAGGTTTTCTAAAAGCTAATTAATATTCAGTAAAGAAGTAATAAATTTTACATGGAACTGCTTATGCAAAGAGTGGCATTTATTCATCCATTGTTCATTTGTTTATATAATAAACATTAAGCACCTACTTTGTTTCAAGCCTGTAGTCCTTTCCCTCTTGAAGCTTACAGGCTAATAGAGAGACTAACATTAAGAAGAAACTATTAACCAAAGCATTAATTAAATTCTAATAAGTATCAAGAAATAAAACAACACTAAGAATGTACCTAGGAGACCCCATCTAGTCTGGGGATTCTGAGAAGGCTTCCCTGAGGAAGTGACAGTGAGGCCAAATCTGATGAGTAAGCAGGCTTTCCTCACAGGGGTTACATTCACACTAACAGACCAATTTCGCTTGATGTGGTCTTCATTAACATAATGGAGACTCTAGTCTATACCACCCCTCAGTTTCACTGACTTATTTCTAGAATGCCAGGAGTGTCTCAACTGAGCTCTCTTGATCTCCTACTTTTCTCCTGTGACAAACTTCACTGACATCCTTGCCTGAGAAGAAACTTGGAGGGTGGCAACTTCTCAGGAAGGGCCTCTCTGGGAGACCAGTAGTACCTATGGATTCTATGTCCTGATGGCTTAAGAATGCAGTGTAGTCCTCACAGCACATTTGCATGCACCTGATGACCCAAAGTTCCTCTAATATGGTCTGTGTCTCTCTGACTTCTGACCCAGATCCAGCGTGCTTGACAAGGGCCATGTGACCACTGTCAGATAAAGTCACAGTGCTAGCCTCTACCTTCCCCTTGTTCTCTCTCCTTTTATTACCACCCACCCCAGCTATCATCCCAGTTGCCCAGGCAAATGTCCACATTTTACCTCAGCCTAATGTTCACTGCTCCTCCCTCCTAGACCTGCTTTCCAGTTCAACAGACAAGCCACAGTGGACGCTAAACAAAATTACATAAATGTTTTAGATAGTAATCTGAGGAAACATAGTTTGCCTGTGATACATGACTTAATTACCACATGTGAATATTTGTGCAACACTTTCTGGTGAGTCCATATTCCCTCCTACTGGAATTTTTTTCTGGCCCATATGTGTGTTTTCACATCAACTGTGACGCTGTTGAAGGACAGCCAAAGGTTCTGATATGCAGGGCTCCTTGATTGTTGACTGGACATTAACCACAAAGGGCAGCATAGATTGCATTGATAGAGAAGAGAGCAATATTACCTTATCAAGTGCAGCAAAGGGATGAGGATTTTCTTAATTCTCAAGTGGCTTCCTCAATGACAGTCTGAAATGTAAGGTATTTTAAATATGTAAAGTTTCAGAACTGCAGTATTTGTATTGTATGAAATCTACAGTGAGCAATGTAAAAACTTTAAAATCACTATGTCAAAATACTCTTATCTTTTATTTTCACTATTCATTTGAGGACTTGCTGATTTATTTGGTACATAGGAAAGTCTAAGGCATTCCAAGGTGGGGGTGATTATAAGATATTGCTTAATTGCTCATTCCAACAAAAAATATTTACAGAATATCCCAAAAAAGGCAAATAAAGGTGCATGTTTATTATTATTAAGAAATTATTACATGAATGGTTGCAACTTTTTAAAATATATATATTTTTATTGATTTCAGAGAAGAAGGGAGATGGAGAGAAAGATAGAAACATCAATAATGAAAGAGAATCATTGATTGCTGCCTCCTGCACACCCCGCAATTGGGATCAACCCTGCAACCCAGGCATGTGCCCTGACTGGGAATCCAACCAGTTACTTCCTGGTTCATAGGCCAATGCTCAACCAACTGAGCCACGCAGGCTGGGCTGGCTGCAACTTCTATCATAAAGCAATGACTGATTAATCACACCAACACTGCATAGGATCATAAAGTTACCAGAAATATCAAGTAAAAGATACAATTGTATTTGAATACTTGGACATTATATTTTAAGTGAAATATTTAAAAGAAAAGAAAGTGTGCAAAATTTTTGTTCATTATTATTAGATGAATCCAATTGCTATACAAATTTTAGTCGTCTATGTGTGGCTTAAACAACAACAAAAATATATATATTTTCTTACAATTCTGGAGGCTTGAAGTCCAAGATCAAAGGGTCTGCAGGTTTGGTTTCTTCTGAGGCTTCTCTCCTTGGCTTGTACATGGCTGTCTTCCCCTTGTGCTCTCAAATGGATCTCTCCTAACCTCCTGTTTTTATAAGGACACATATTGAATTAGGGCTCACTCATATGACTTGATTTAACCTTAATTATTTCTTTGAAGGCCCTATCTCCAAATACAGTCACATTTGTAAGTACTGGGGTCAGGACTTAAATCTATAAATTTGGGGGGCACACAATTTAGTCTATCACAGCAGCTATTACATTTAGAGAAATGCTACTATTAAAAATGTTCACTATGTGCTCATACAGAAAGTGTATCACTGACCTCAAATCAAGTAACATATTGTTCCCTTTGAAGAAGTGATTTTTTTTAGGGACAATATGAATCATGTAACTAATCATATCTTGCATTTTGTTTTGATCAACAGAAATTCTAGGCTCAGTTTAGGTAAATGGATTTTACTTACTCTGTGGTCTCTACTTAAATTTTAACTTTCTCCCAGATTTCACTCAATTCATTTTAACTGTGTTGTCAGAATCTTGATTCTTATCATTTTTATCTATTTTTTTTATAAGCAGTGTGCAATATGACACTCTAGGTGGCCAGACTAAATAAATAAATGTTTGAGATATGTATCAGCAGACCTTACAAATGTCCACAGGTGGCCACCTCTGGTTTTCCTTAGCAAACCCCCAGAACTTTAAGCAATAGCATCTGTAATGAAAGCAGCATTTCTGTGAACTAGTTGGCTTCTCTACCACAATAGAGAAGTTATAAACATATTCCTATGAAAGGGAACACAGTGTGTGTGCTGACTAACAGACCCAGGAGCCAGACTTCTGGGTACAAATGCTGGCTTGACCAATAGTAATTGTGATACTCTAGGCAAATTACATGAAATCTTTGTATGTTATTTTTTTCATCTATCATACGAGGATAGTGGGAACACTTACAGCCTAGGGTTGTCATGAGGATCAAGTGAGTAAAAATGCATAAGATGATTAGAACAGTTGTAAATAAAACATTATAAAGTCTTATCATCCCAGAAAATTACACTCCAAAATTTGCCTATCATTTCAGAGTCATCACAGACTCCCTGAAGCGCCCCCTGACCTGCAGTGGCATCGTGGGGGTCATGAACCCAAGTTCATAACTCCTGCTCTACATATTTTATCATGAACAATAGACATAGTTGAATTAACTCAGAAACACAGTATTTCTGTTTTTGCATTGATATTTGCTGAACATCCACACAGCAGTGTGAAAGTATGTTGATGTTGCTTTGTGCTTTATTTCACTTTTTTGAAAAAAGAAGTCAAGAGAATAAATCATCCACCCTAGCTGGTTTAGCTCAGTGGATAGAGCTTTGGCCTGTGGACTGAAGGGTCCCAGGTTCGATTCCAGTCACGGGCACATGCCTGGGTTGCAGGTTCAATCCCCAGTAGGGGGCAGGCAGGAGGCAGCCAATCAATGATTCTCTTTCATCATTGATGTTTCTATCTCTCTCTACCTCTCCCTTCCTCTCTGAAATCAAGTTAAAAAAATTAAAAAAGAGAATAAATCATCCAAATGGCATTGGATTGTAGAGTACCATTTGGACATATTTTTTCTGGGAAATGACATGAATACAGCTTACTTTCATCTTGTCCTTTCAGAAACATTTAGTGACCATCTTCTTTGTGCAAGGCAGTCGGGTAGAGAGAGAGGTGATATAAAGTGCTGGGTGTTTCAAAGCTAAGACACAGTGTGAATTGTGGCCAGATCAATGAAACCACAGAAATCAGTATTGATTATGAAGACAACAAAAGGATGGACGAACTTTAGCCCTTTGTGCTGGATCCCCTAACACATATAGACATTCCCAGGCATCAGATTTCCAACTACAATTCATAGTAGCTTAAACTCTCCTTCCTTTTCTTACTTTATTCACTCAAAGATTCTTAAAGATACCATTTGAATAGGTTTTTATGCATGTCAATACACAAAATAAATGGAAATAGAAGAAATGTTAAACTAAAGTCAGCCTGTTCTTGTTAACATAGAATTGTTTTTAATGTCATTTCTTTTCACTGTACTTTCATATGACCAAATCATCTACAAAGCTCTAACAATTGTGGACTGAATAAAAATGAATTGGGTGTACTCAATCTGAACATTAAGGAGGGGAAAATCCTTTATAGAGAAGCTTATATTTTCATACATAAAAGCTCTGCATTCCCCCATTGTTGTGTGCTAAAAAAAACAACTCTCTAGTTTTCAAGTAATTTTGCATTAGCTTTGGTTTAGCAGTGATGTTCTTTTCTTTAGAGCAGCTTGCCACAGCTTTTTACGCCTTCTTGCGTAAATTAAAGAGAATGAAAAATAGCCAGCATGTGGCATTTTAGAGACCTTGACCCTCCATCATTATTGCCACAAATGTCCGCATTAAATTTAATTCATTGATGTTGCTGGTCTAAAGTATTTTTTCTCCTGAGAATAAAGTATATGGAATACTTCTTTTCTAAACCCAATTTACTAATAACTGATCAGTAGTAGAAATCTTTTTTTAACTTTATTTTTATTGTTGACACATAGATGACTCCATTTCCCCCCACTTAGCTCACCTCCACCCAGCCCCAGTGCCCCCTCTGGCCATCACCTCACTGTTGTCTGTGTCTATGGGTTATGCATATATGTTCTTTGGCTAATCTCTTCACCTTCTTTCCTTCCAATCTTCTCCTCCCCCCCATACTCTTCCCCTCTGACAGCTGTCAGTCTGTTTCATGTATCCATGCCTCTTGTTTTATTTTGTTCATTAGCTCACCTCCACCCAGCCCCAGTGCCCCCTCTGGCCATCACCTCACTGTTGTCTGTGTCTATGGGTTATGCATATATGTTCTTTGGCTAATCTCTTCACCTTCTTTCCTTCCAATCTTCTCCTCCCCCCCATACTCTTCCCCTCTGACAGCTGTCAGTCTGTTTCATGTATCCATGCCTCTGGTTCTATTTTGTTCACCTGTTTATTTTGTTCATTCAAGTCCACATATAAGTGAAATCTTTAAATTTAGTTAGGTAACAAGGGTTTATAGGAATTGCAACCACTATGGAATAATTTCCCATAGGGGCACAGCCTTATTTATTTCTGTCACAACTTGATTTAATAAAATGTATCATATTTAGAATCCTATCTAATAATAGACAAAGATGGTAATTGACTGTACCTTCGCTACGCCTCCCATTGGCTAATCAGCATGATATGCAAATTAGCCGCCAACAAAGATGGCGGCTAATTTGCATACTGCAGGCAGGGCGGGGCAGCGCGAGCCGCCATCCGGGCCCTGTGTGCAGCCCTGGGTGGAGGGGCTTAGGCAGCGGGGAACTTAGGCAGCACCCATGTGCCGCCTAAGCCCCACGCCGCCTAAGCCCCACCCCCAGCCGGGACCACTGTGTGCCGCCTAAGCCCCGCCCCCAGCTGGTACACCCTTGTGCTGCCTAAGCCTCGCCCCCAGCCGGGACCCCCTTGTGCCTCCTAAGCCCCCTGCTGCCTAAGCCCCGCCCCCAGCCGGGACCCTATGGCGATTAGAGAGCAGGAAAGTGCCGCTCACACCAGGGCCCTGGTGATCCAGCTATCGGTGAGCAGGAAAGTGCGGCCTGTAGGCAGCACCCAGCAAGGCCTGCTCCTGGGTTGCCATGGCAATCCCAGAGCAGGAAAGGCCGGACTGCAGGCAGCCCCTGTGTGCACCTGCTCTGAACCTCTGCTGCCAGACTGTGGCCATCAGTAAGACATCCACTGAGGGCTCCCGTACTGAGGGGCAGGCTGGGCTGAGGAAACCCCACCCCCCAGTGCACGAATTTTGTGCACTGGGCCTCTAGTAATCTCATAAAAGGTTAAAAATGCATTTATAAAAAATAAACATAGCAATGAGATTAAGCAATTACTCCAAGGGTTGATGCTAATATTTCAGGATATTTATATAGTTACCTTTATTATTTGGGGTGAAAATGATAATGAGTTGAGAAGAAATAATTTACACTCATATTTTCACTGCAATACTAGTAAATTCTAGAAGAAATTTAACTCAAATGAATATTAATCATGGTGGGGTTTTTTTATGTGTGTGTTTTTTCTTTCCTTCCTTTTTAATTATCACCCAAGGATAATTTTTCCATTGATTTCTAGAGTGGAAGGGTGGGAGATGGGACACACACACACACACACACACACACACATTGATTGGTTGCCTCCCACATGCACCCCTACTGGGGCTAGAGAACCTACAACCTCAGTATGTGCCCTTGACCAGGAAGCTTACTTGAGACTCTTTCATCCACAGGTTGACACTGTAACCACTGAGAAAACCAGTTAGAGCTAATCATGGCTTTGATATGTTCATCATTTATATTTAATAATCAAGGTGCCTATATAAACATACTGGCACACTAAAATTATTCCTTCTGAAAAAATAGCTATATATATATGCTAAGATGGTCATTAGCAGAAAGAAAATAAAACAGGAATAAAGGGACATTTAGAAAGCTAATTCTGAATAGGATAAAGATGAAGGCAAATATGGAGAGAGGATAGCTTCATTCAGCACTTAGCACTAGGAAGATATGAGAATAACAGGATACAAAGGAGAGTGAACACAACCCAAGTGACCATCAACAGAGGAACAGATAAACATAATGTGGTATATAAATACAATGAAATACTATTCAGACATGAAAAATAATAAAGATATGAGAATAACAGGATACAAAGGAGAGTGAACAACCCAAGTGACCATCAACAGAGGAATGGATAAACATAATGTGGTATATAAATATAATGAAATACTATTCAGACATGAAAAATAATGAAGTTCCAATATATTCTACAATATCAATGAGTCTTAAAGAAATTATGCTAAGTAAAATAAGCCATATAGAAAAAGACAAATGCTCTATGATCCCGCTTATCTGAAATTCCTACAATAGCCCAATGCAGAGACAGAAAGCACATTAGAAGCTCCCGGGAGCTTGAGGGAGAGGAGAATGGGGAGTAATTACTTAATGAGAACAGAGTTTCTGTTTGGGTTAATGAAAATTTGGGGTAGGAGAAAATT